GCAAATAAATAACCAAATGGTTGTAATTGTTTTTGTAAAAAAAATGGAAAAATAATTCCTTACATTTGTTACTGTTTCCTTAAATTTGTCCACCTGTCTTTTCATCTCATTGGTCGTGTTTTGTACGTTGTAATTACCAACGTTACAAATTAAACCTACAGTGAAAGGTGGCGTCTTGCAAATGTCCACGTTTTCTTTGTATCTGCTAGGTCGGTTAGGTTAGGCGGGTTGCTTGGGTTGGTACGTTTCAGGTTAGGTTAGAAGGATGGATATCAAATCAAATCAAATCAAAACAACAAACGTGCTAGTTCGTCTCTGTGTGCGCTAGGCAGGTGTCTTGCTTTGTGGGAGAGTATAGGCAGCAACTGTATTCACCTAGTTGTTCTTGCGGGGGTTGAGCTCTGCTCTTTCGGCCCGCCTCTCAATTGTCAATCAACTATAACTAACTACTAACACACACACACACACACACACACACACACACACACACACACACACATACACATACACACACACACACACACACACACACACACACACACACACACACACACACACACACACACACACACACACACACTCACACTCCTTAACATAAGCGTATATTTTCGTCCTGACCTGCTAAAGCTGCGATCATGTCTCATTTATGTATCAGATGAAGCTGTCACGTTCTCTTTCCTGCACAGTCTCGGTGTTGGTCATTATGGCCGCTGCTCCCCATCACAGGACATTAACTTTGTTACAGCTGGGTGTGGCACTCCTCCTCTCCCTCCCCTCCCCCATCCCTCTCTCTACCTCCCCCCCCCCCGCTCTCTCCCCCCCCCCCCCCCCCCCCACACACACACACCCTTAAAATGACATAAAAGATCAGGTTGTAGAGGCAAATTCAGTTCACAACTTAAAAAATAGGTATGATATTGAAATAAGTCGGGAGTCATTGCATTAAGACAACCGGCGGCTAGAAAATCGGGGTCTAAGAGCTAGAGCTTGATCCAGCAGGCACAGATAGATGCGTTCATTCGCACATTTTATTTAGCAAACATTATGAAAATATGTTGCTAAAGCGAGCAAGATTTAATTTTAAAAACCTGCCTATCGAAGTTCAAGTCTTCAAATATTCAGGTTCGAGTCTGAAGACGACCCACAGACCCTCAGACCTTAAGAAGAACACTAAACTTACACAATAGCGTCGCAACTTCCGCATCATAAAGTTATTCCTCGCAAATTCCCGGTATTTGATTTTATTAGTGTGGCCGTAGAGTGAAAATTTCGTATGCCGTAATACGCTTTGCACACCCATTGAGGAGTTCTTCCGCCGATGTCCATTACTTTTATGCATGCTACAGGGGGAAAAAATCCTACAGCACCAAGGTCTGTCTGTCAGTTCGAAAATGACGACCTTATCCATAAACTAGATTTTTTATGTGACAGAATCTGAACATTAATTTATTTTGGAGATTCTTTTGAAACGCTACATAACTTTAAAGCTTCCGTGTGAAGCGAAAATTCAACGTCAACGCTTGTCTTGAAAGCAAATGGTTGACAAAATTACTGAATTAGAGGGTTGTTGCGTCTCCAGATCGGGTACTGTGTACTCCCTCTTCACAGCTGTTGTCGCAAGGCAATGATTTATTCCTGCATGAACTGGTGATGACTTCGGGGGTGAAGAGTGTGACGGCTGGGCGGGACTGGGTAGTTAACGATTTCTGAGGTGAACTGGGTGACGACATCTGGGCGGAACTGGGAGTAAACATTTGCGTAACAATTTACAGAGATTTTGCCGTGTACATGATACAACATCAGCGTTCATAAGTGTCCGTGCATTTTAGTGCATATTTTGACTCAAAAACAGTTTCTCTTCTCATGCTTTTATGTACTTTGAATATACTCGTTTCTTTAATATTGCGGAAAAAGCAATATCTGTCATGACCATCTGTCAGCTGGTGACAGATGGTCTGTCTCATATGGACTTTCCCACTCCTTTCTCCCCTTTTCCCTTCCCACACTCACACATACACTAGGGTCTTACAGCCGAGTGGTCAGCGTCCGGAATGTTTATACCACGGACCAAGCCCCTGATACCTCTAGTTACCTAACAGCAAATAGCTACCGGGGAGTTAGTCGTCGTGGGCTGCATCCTAGCGAGGTGTGTCAAATATATAATAGATACGACAGGGTAAAAAATAATAATTAATCGGGAGTCAGTATTCTGACTCTTAGGAAGGCGGGGACCAAGAACTAACAGCTTGATCCTGCAAATATACGTACACACAAACGTCCATATATGATTGGTGGAAGATGTAGCGCGCGCGTGCGTAAGGCACAGTGTCTCGTTGCAAACCTCTGAACCTTTTCCAGTTTCATTATATGCTTCTTCAGATGTGTGACTGGCCTTACGTAGGCAGTGTGCCTCCTTACTTAGGTTTCGTGCATGTGCGCATCATTCAGCATGTGCTTGCTGCTTTATGGTAATAAGCACACATCCTCAAGCGAGCTGGCCAGAAATTCCACATTTAAGTGCATTCTACAACATACACCATAGTAAGTCATAAAAGCGCACACACACACACTAGCGTAACCTGCACACACTCGTTCCAAGCGAGTAACAGTGGCATGAATCCGAGAAGGAAATAACGCCTACATGCAAACGAGGGTGCACGCTCGCACACACGAAAACACACACACACACACACACACACACACACACACACACACACACACACACACACACACACACACACACACACACACACACACACACACACGCACACATTTGTCTACTACTCTTCAGAGTAGTAGACAAATGGAATGCATTAGGAAGTGATGTGGTGGAGGCTGACTCCATACACAGCTTCAAGTGTAGATATGATAGAGCCCAGTATGCTCAGGAATCTGTACACCAGTTGAGAGGCGGGACCAAAGAGCCAGAGCTCAACCCCCGCAAGTACAATTAGGTGAGTACACACACACACTCACACACACACACACACACACACACGTTTCAAATGGAGATATGATAGAGCCTAATAGGCTCTGGCATGTGTACAACAGTTGATTGACAGTTGAAAGGCGGCACCAAAGAGCGAAAGCTGAACCCCAGCAAGCACAACTAGGTGAGTACACGCATGCACGCACGCACACAGTATATGAATTAAACAAGGAGGTCGTAAATGCCATTTCCATGCGCTGTTAAATGTTGAAAAAAAAATTGCAGGCCATATGGTAGTCGTGTGTCATCGTATTAGACCAGACTGGCAGCCTGAAGCTACTCATCATCAGGTTATGTTCGTCCAAGCTGCTTCCCAACCCAAAGACGCATTCAGTAATTTTAACTGCGCAGTTTAAATTGCTATCTTAATTAAATATTAACATAATTGAATTTGGTGTACTGTTAGGCATAGGTTAGGTGTTTAGGTATTGTTGTCAATTATTATTGTTGTTTTAGATTCAGCTACTCAGAACAAAAAGTTCCAAGTAGCACGGGCTATGGTGAGCCCGTAACCTGGATTTGTAGACTTAACTAGATGTATATATATAGGTGACTACAGCCCGGTGCAAACTTATCCTAGCAAGTATAAAAAGATTAGTACACGTACGCTGAAGACTGAGACCAGGCTAAGTCACGTGTCAGAGGAGCACAGGTGAGGGGGCGTGATGGCTGGTGTGAACGACCCCTCCCTCTCCCCTCCCCCCCCCCCCTACCCCCCCTACCCCCCATACCCCCCTACCCCCCCCCCCCCCTAACCTACCACCCCCCCTACACCCCCCACCTACCACCCCCCCCCCAAAGAATGTCTCCACAGTGCACGTGGGAGGGGGGGGGAGGGGGGAGAAGCCACGATGGTTCGCTATTGTCAGCGTCATTGTCGACGTCATCGTTGCTGTTGATGTTGTTTTTATCGACGTCATAATTTGTCTTTTTTAAGTTTGCTCTCATTTATAAATAAGAAAATAAATTCGGGATTTTTTAATGAAGGATCATTAAAAAACATGCGTAAATTAAAAAATTATGCGTATATAACATGGAGTAAATTAAGTAGAATGAAGGTGAAATATATATATATAATATATATATATATATATAGGGAAGGAGTACCACCTCTGGCTGGAAGAAGGGGACCCTTAGCCTCGGAGGAAATCACACATATCGCATTAGAGGGAATGTTTAGATCCCCTCCAATATACAGCAGCGGTATTTGCAACAGGGTGGAAGCAGATCAATACGGACTACATGGGCTGCACTGCAGAAGATCCAAGGACTGGCATGCAAGACATAACGAGGTCAATGACATAATCGACAAGAGCCTTGTCTCAGCTCAGTGCCCAGCGGAGAGAATCCCTTGTATCCTAGTGAACCAAAACCCGGATGACCTCCACTTCTTTCAGATAGCATCACAATATACCCCCGGAAGAGGGGCAGACAGCTGGTGTGGGACTACACGTGTGTATCCACTCTCACTGACACCTACATACACTTCTGTGCTGATCAAGCAGGCGGGGCGGCCAACCACAGGGAAACAGCAAAATCAATCAAGTACGGGCGACTGGAAGGTCAATTCACCTTTGTTTCCATAGCGTCTGAGACGCATGGTCCCTGGGGTTGGAACGCCTTGGGATTTCTCAAGGAATTGGGTTCCAGGCGCATTGATATCATCATAGTTCCAAGGACTGCCAATTTCTTGTTTAAGTGCCTCAGAGTGGCGATCCAGAGGGAAAACGTCTGCTGCGTCCTAAGTTTCTGTCCGGAAAAGGGAGGAGCTTCAAGAGATCCATAATCTTTAAACACTCACTGTATTAACTTTAATGTACATCTTGTAACCTTTATATATATATATATATATATATATATATATATATATATATATATATATATATATATATATATATATATATATATATATATATATATATATATATATATATTTATTTATATATATATATATATATATAATAATAATAAGTCTTGTTCAGGAACGACATTTAATAAACGATTTTTTCAGGTCGATGGAGGCAAAATATTCTTCCCCGAATCAAAAGCAACGGTTAGGCAACTCCTAACAGTGGAGAAACATCTCCCAGCAGGTGGAGAAGAGTCCTTAATAGCGGAGGATCAGCCCCTAGCAGCGGAGGATCAGCCCCTAGCAGCGGAGGATCATCCCATACCAGAAGAGTTCGGATCCCGCGAGCAACGAGGGTTTTGGGAGAGCGACCTCTTCTTCCTCCAAAAGTTGTCGGGACTCTTCGGTGGTGATGACGAACCTCAGCCTCAGCGCCGCAAGACCTCGAACCTGCGACCCGAACCCTTGCCGCCGCAGATCCTCTACTCCCAACGCAGGAAGGTCACCAACACGCCTGGGCACCACAATCAAGTGAAGCAGGGATCGAGACTTCCTCCTCGGACACGCTTCCCATCGTCCCACCAGGGTTCACAGGTGTTGAGGGCGCCACAACATAATAATTCTCCCGTGTTCAGGCCACCTCGTCAGACTGTGCGGGTTACTGCCCCTCCTAACCACGTCGTTCCGCCTCCTCCCGATAACTCTGGTCAGTTTTCACAAAACCAGCAAGTTGCTTTCCACCTCCCGCCCCCGCCGCCCACGCCCCCGAAATCTGATTCAAATTTCCCCATTAAGGAATCGACAAATTTCCCATACCAGTTTGTGAGGCCTGGAAATGACCTTCCTATTAACAACAACATTTTGCCGCATGTTTCAGCGTCTGCCCCGCCTGGAAAACACCTGTCCTCCAACAACAATTTCCCACAGAGTGTTCTAATCACTGCCCCGCCTAGAAATCATCTACTTTTCACTGGTAACATTTCCCCACAGCATCTTCCCGTGTCCGGCCCGCCCCGAGCGGATACGCTTCGCCCTAATCTTCCTGGAGCACCACCGCCTCGCGCTGTTTCAACCCATTCGAACACCTTGAAAGCTCCTCTGCCACTCCACTCGAACACTCGCCGGCCTCTTCCTCCACCCCCTAAGACAGTCAAACCCAAAAAGCCAACGATGTTGGGAAGTCTGTCGGACTTTTCTTCAGGGACCTTTGGCAATATCCATCACCCCCAGAAACACCCTAGACCAGCACCACATCCCCAGAGAGTCATCATCCCAGCCAACCCAAAACCCTCTCTGAAGAAGGACTTCAAACCGAGTCTCGAGTTCAAACCCAGTCCTCAAGAAGGAAAAACCGCGTCCGATGCCTTCCAGCCCGTGTTCGTAGCTTCCCCTTTCATGGACGACTTGGGAGACGATGTCATGAAACCCATGAAAGTGGCTTCAGTACGCTCTCTCCCCGTCCAATCCACCACTCTACCTGAACTGCAGGATTTCTTCTGAAAAAAGTGAATGAATGAATGAAATGCGAAGATATTTATTTTTAACGTAAACGGCAGAGAGAGATGAGACACTTTTTTTGTTCCCAGTCATGAACGAGGATTGGGAAGAATAGTATATAAAATGAATTCTATTTAATAACTATTATTAATTAAAGAGGATTTCCAATAGTGAATCCAGAGACAGTTGAACTTGGATGGATGTCGGTGTTGTAAATGTAGAATGTTAGCCACCGTGTTATTATCTCCTGCATATTAAGCTGGTTGACTGTTACTGAGTTGTGCCTCATCTGTTGCTTACAAAATCCGCTAAAGTATCAACACAAGAGTGAATTTTGAATGAAGTGATTAAAGTTGATTTTTAGTGAAATGCGCACGTTAAAAAAAATCTTATTTCATTATTTCTTTGCAAATTATTATACTTTGCGCTCGTTAGTTAAGTTTTGAATATCATTGCTTAGACCCTTTAATACACTGTCTGTTAATATATTCCATTGGTATGCTGAGTTAAAACAATTAGATGGTAATTATAATTATGAAAGTATTGTGCAGTATTTTGAAACATGAAATTTTAGACAGTATGGTAACATGTTAGTTTTTATTTAAACGGCAAATGTCTCAACATAGAAGTGATCTAAAATTGTCTCATATTCTGCTCTGTTGTTTACAGAATGTATGATTCTATGTCCTCCGTCATTTCTAACTAACGTATTTTATTTATTTTGTAATCATTGATGTTTGCTACATTTTGTATATGTATTAATTATTCAATTTTCACCCAATCCATTTCATCCATTCCTGTATCCCTCAATCTTAAGTCACTCGCTAATTATGCATTCACGTTCTTATACAACACCTACCTCTGACGTCCTCCAGATGACATCTGGAACTTTGACGATGAAAAGATTAGGCGAAGCTGCGCCTGCGGCGGCTTTCAACAAGGTAGCGATGCTGGCTGGCAAGGAAACCCAGATAATCTAAATGACCTTATTAGCCTTTTTTTTATTGCACTCCAGATGCGCTTTTATACAGACCCACCTTGGCACCACTTCTATTATATGGTTTGCCGGACGTGCTTGTATACCACTTATCGTTATTGAACATATCCTTGTCAGACACAGTTTCCTGGAGTGGGCCAGGCTTGCTTTGTGATTAATTGGCTTAGCCTTCCAAGCCTTGCCCTTGGCTCCCCAAGCTTGGCCTCGGGCCGGGCTTGGGGAGTAGAAGAACTCCCAGAACCCCATCAACCAGGTAATTGATCTTTAAGCTTGCTGCTTGGTGCGGCTCGCAGGCCCATGTATCCATTACAACATATCTGATTCAGCTTTATTGTATACTAGACGACTCTCCCCATCCCATTACCACAAATACTGTCTTAAGACAAGCCAGACATACCTTGCTGACAAACACGGTACCTCAAGCAATGTTTTATTGTACCTGGAAGTACCCTTGTGAGACTTTCTTGTGATCAGTAATAATGTTACTCATTCAAGATATTTGTCATGACTTTTACAGTAACTTTCTCTCATGAAACCCCTCATATAATTGTGTTAATATTTACACCTTTATGTTACATTTTTAAACTGATGTGTCTAAGCGAATTTGATTATATAATTTATCGAACAGCTTCCAGTACCTTTGATTCTTTGATCATCGTTACCACTGTACACTATTCACATTTTTTATCCTCGTTACCATTATTTGGAGAACATTATTATCCCCCATTCACTGATACTCGTTACCAATGGTATTCAATATTCCACACATTCATTTGTCCCCATTACCACTACCACCCATTCTCAAGTGATTGTTGGTTTCCGATATTTTCTCGTATTTTGCTATTCATCTTTCATATTTGAGTATTTTACCATCTAAAATGGTTATTTCTCATTGATACACATATCGTACCTCCCTTGTGTCACGTGTTAGGTTATCGTTTCATTGTGTTTCACATGAATTATACAAGATATGTTTTATGTACATATGTGACGAATGTGTTGTGTTAAAGACCAGCTGGACTGGTAACAATTATTTATTCTATCTATTAATGTTGATTTTTATTTATAATCCCGTATTGTGATAAGAACAGTTACTGTGGGTAACTGTTGATTGTGTTTGAGGGATTTTGGTGTTGAATGCAACTTTTGACTTAATACCAGAAATTGCTGACAATATTTTTTTCTGTGTGTTTGCCTGTGTCTTGCTCATTTCCAAACACGTATAAATGTCAATCAGGCTGTTGTTGCACCAGTCTGTGTGATACAGACTAGGTGCTAAGAGGTGAAACTCTGGAGTTAAGATGTGGGACCCGGGAGTTGGAGCTAAGAGGCGGGGCCCAGGAGTTGGAGCTAAGAGCTGGAACCCAGGAGTTGGAGCTAAGAAGCAGGGCCCAAGAGTTGGAGCTAAGAGGCGGGGCCCAGGAGTTGGAGCTAAGAGGCGGGGTCCAGGAGTTGAAGCTAAGACCTGGGACCCAGGAGTTGGAGCTAAGTGGCGGGGCCCTGGAGCTAAGAGGCGGGGCCCAGGAGTTGGAGCTAAGAGGCGGGGCCCAGGATTTGGAGCTAAGAGGCGGGGCCCAGGAGTTGGACCTAAGAGACGGGGATCATTGATTTGAGGATAAGAGGCTTTGAACTTGACATTTTTGCACTTGATCTTGAATTTTATTTTAGACTTAAAGTTTCACCAGATTTCATGAAAGTTACTACCAAGCAGCCTGAGTTATATGAAGCAGGTGTTTTACTCACCAACCGGACTTTTGAAAAGTAAATGAAAAACAACGATGTATTCTATCAAAGACTAGTAAGAAAAATATCACTGGTAAAATCCACAACTAATAATTAAATACAGTTTGCCAAAATGTCTGACTTAATTTTGAGTATTTCAAGGGCATGGCATAAACTGATTTAGAATTGCATTAATATAATCTAAAATAAAATACAATAAAATAAATTGTTGTTTCAAGATGGTAATTCCCAGTGTGGGAGTCACACCAGCTCTGTGACTTGTTAAGGAGGAAAATTTATTATTAACATCTTTATTGACAAAATTAATAATTTTGCCTAATCTGTGGATTTCGATTAAGTCTTATTAAAGGAGGAAGATCCTTCAGTAGGACGGGAAATGTAGAAGTTTTGGAGTTGTTAGTGATGGAGGAAGAGGTGTGTTACAATATACTACGTCCGATGCTCTAGGACGTAGGTTCGAACCCTCGACACGGCCCTTGTAGATTTGTTCAAGAGGTGTGTGCTTGTATTTACTATTTGTATCTGCAGAATTTATCTATTAGCTCTTGGACCTCGTATTTCTAATCTATTTTGATTAGTGCCTCGTGGCACTAGAATTTCAACATGTAATTATGATGTAGAAGTGTTAAGTCTGCGGACACAATGCTCTCATCTGTCACGTTAGAAACTCTACTTATTCTATATTTTGGTCTTCTAAAATAATGTTTCCTGCCTCTACTCTTTACAGTTGCCGTCTTGTTAAGTCGGCTCTGACACACAACTTGCCCAACATAACCCTAATCCTGGCTTTGTCGCTGTTGACTTTTCTCTTTCACAGTACTCACTGAAATGCTCCAACCATCTTAGCAAACGTGATCTGACTTAAGCCGACCCCCTCCCCCACCCTTCTCTTGTCTTTGTCTTACCTTTCCTCTTATTCTTACATTCACCCCATTCCTCTCTTATTTCAACCACCGGTGAGCCGGTCGGCCGAGCGGACAGCACGCTGGACTTGTGATCCTGTGGTCCTGGGTTCGATCCCAGGCGCCGGCGAGAAACAATGGGCAGAGTTTCTTTCAGCCTATGCCCCTGTTACCTAGCAGTAAAATAGGTACCTGGGTGTTAGTCAGCTGTCACGGGCTGCTTCCTGGGGGTGGAGGCCTGGTCGAGGACCGGGCCGCGGGGACACTAAAGCCCCGAAATCATCTCAAGATAACCTCAAGATAGCCGTGAGGATTCAACAATCCTCTCTTCTCTTACCACCGTGCCACCTCTTGGGTGACTTAATCTTCATCAATCATGTTCTCTCTTCTCTCACACAACTTGATAATTGTCGGAGCGTCGTTGTCTCTATTTTCTGATGTGTAGTTTGGTAATCAAAGAATTACAACCTTAATGTGTGAGAGTTTGTATGTGTGTATTTAGCATTTGTGCCTGCAGCAGGATTGCGCTGTTAGCTCCTGGACTCCGCCTTTCTGACCGTCGGCTGTCTAATGTACTGACTCCTGATCTATTTTTCTTCTATCATATCTACTAAGTATATTTCTCTCTCACACCCACATTCCCAGGATGCAGTCCGTAGCAGATGTTCAATTTCCAGGTACCTATTTACTGCTAAGTGAACATCAGTTGAGAGAAACTCTGCTCATTTGTTTCTGCCACGGCTTGGAATGGAGTCCGAGCTCTTAAGACTATGACCCCCAAGCGTAGTCCACTCGGCCGCGAGACCCCTGGGTGTGTGTGTGTGTGTGTGTGTGTGTGTGTGTGTATGTGTGTGTGTGTGTGTGTGCGCGCGCGCGCGTGTGTTCATGTTGTTGCCATTCCTGCTGAACGGGTTGACAGGGATAATTGTACTCCAAATTTTATATGCAAATTTACTAACATTGTGCCAGCAATAATAAGTAAATAAACCAAAGAAATGTTACATTCATAATAAGATAAGTAGGAAATTTATTGACCTAAACGCCTCACTAGGATTCACTTCACCTGAACTTGGCACACGAGCCGTACATTCATTTATAGTAAGAATATTTACACACACAATATCGGTATCAAAGGAATCGCAAATAATGAATAATCACTCAAGAATGTAAAGCCATACGTGAACCGAGCGTTGAAATTATAGGTTAATTGATAGAATAGAAACACACACAATCGACTTGAGAATGGTCCAGGACGGACCGAAACGTCGTCGTCCCTTCAACTTCTAGTGTGTGGTCTGGTCTACATAGATTAATTATTGATTCACATTGGTATAATCAATTTAATTACGCTTATTTCTTCTTCAGTTTATGAGCTATAATGAACAAATTACACATAATTATGGCATAATGGTTACAGGGCTATAGGCCCTGTTCCCTGGGGTTGTGTGTGGTTGGTGGGGCTGAGTGTGGTTTGAGCACTGGAGTGCTTGGGGAGGCGTGGTTGGGGGTTGGCAGTATTGGCACTAAGGATGGCACCAACACGTGAAGGGGGCCACCTGCTCCCCAACACCCAGGAACACTGCCAACACCAAATTCTTCCCTTATGACTCCCAGTCATAGTACACTTACACACGCACATGTACACGAACATACATATGCATGTATGTAAACACATATATACATATATTTCTTCATATATATATATATATATATATATATATATATATATATATATATATATATATATATATATATATATATATATATATATATATATATATATATATATATAGTGCGTTCTGGCTACTAGGTACGATATATATATATATATATATATATATATATATATATATATATATATATATATATATATATATGTCGTACCTAGTAGCCAGAACTCACTTCTCAGCCTACTATGCAAGGCCCGATTTGCCTAATAAGCCAAGTTTTCCTGAATTAATATATTTTCTCAAATTTTTTTCTTATGAAATGATAAAGCTACCCATTTCATTATGTATGAGGTCCATTTTTTTTACTGGAGTTAAAATTAACGACGATATATGACCGAACCTAACCAACCTTACCTAACCTAACCTATCTTTATAGGTTGGGTTAGGTTAGGTTGCCGAAAAAGTTAGGTTAGGTAGTCGAAAAACAATTAATTCATGAAAACTTGGCTTATTAGGCAAATCGGGCCTTGCATAGTAGGCTGAGAAGTGCGTTCTGGCTACTAGGTACGACATATATATATATATATATATATATATATATATATATATATATATATATATATATATATATATATATATATATATATAAGGGATACAAGTCTCACAGCCACTCGTAAAGTAAGAATACACATAGAAGATAACCTTATAGACGGTATTCACTAGGTGCATCACATCAAATGTTCCATGTTGCTTCCTCTGTATATCTGAAGTTCGGCAAATATTTGAGACTCGGTGATTACTACCTGTGAGTAGTTTCAGTGGTATTACGCACAGGAAGTCTCATACGACTCCCCTTCAGTTCTGCTCCTGCAAATAAACAGGTGATGAGGCGAGAGAAGAACCGTACATAGGAATGCTGCCAAGATTTTTGTTATGGCAGGGGTTACAGGGGAGGATGTTGGTGAGTGGAATTGATGGAGGTTGTTAGGGTGGGGTGTGGGGGCTCCGGGTGGGAGTGGACTAGTCATCACAACACAGGTACTGCGCATGCGTCGACAGGAAGAAAAACTCAACGTCGAGCTGCTTTACACCTCAGTTGTACACCTTCCTCGCAGCACGAAAGAGGTGGTCAAATTTTGCTGCTCCTTCTCTTAACTATTTCTACTCCCCCCTTTCAACTGCTAACTGTATGTTTGTTGGCGAATACTGATAGCTTTTAATTGCTTCCCTCCAGCGATTTTAGCTTTCCTGTTGGAACAATATAAGGACAATATCTTGAGATTAGAGACAAATAAAGGGAGAGTTCAAGATAAACAGACGACCACCTGTGGATCAGCTGGAGACGAGGACGGTATGTGCCGTCAGCTGTGCTTCAAGTAAGAAAGCAAACGCAAGTCGACCCTTCAAGACATTGATCGGAGTTCGATTTCACACGCCAAGGCCACACAACACGTTACCTGTCTTCAAGGTCATGGTGTGAAGACGCTAATATGCCAGACAAACACACGCGCGACGCTCTCGCTCCGCTAACACACCAGGAAATAGGGAGAGACCAAAGTTTACAAGTAAGTCAACTTGTGTGTTTTTAGCACATGTTTCATATGTACTTGTGACTGTTTTGGCTTAGATTTGTGGAGGTACGAGTAGGTGGCATAATGCAGCAAATAATTAGTTTCGAATGTACTGAACAAAGAGTACGTCCTGTAGCATTAATTACCGGGAATTACAAATTGGTTTTGTGTATTTTATGACATGTATGCGATGGGGTGCTTGAAATAATAATAGTTTTTGTGTAAGAACCATATAGGCCTTAAGCAGTATATATATATATATATATATATATATATATATATATATATATATATATATATATATATATATATATATATATATATATATATATATATATATGTGTGTGTGTGTGTGTAGGTTTTATATAATGCAAAGGTAATTTCTCAGAAATTTACATAATGGTTAATGTCGTTAATGTCATTAATGTCACGCAGATGGTGAATTGTTGTGGCCACGGGGAACGGAAGCAGCAGCAGCAGCAGCCCGGGGCGGAGAAACAGAGGCAAGGAACAGGTCGTGCCGGCCAGGTGTCCTTCATAATCGACGGGTTGTACCTGTCAGGGGCGCGGGCTGTAAGACAGGCACGGCTGACGGAGCTTGGGGTGACGTGCGTAGTGAACAGTACGGTAGAATTGCCCACGGTGCCCCTGGATGGTGTGGAGGTCGTGCCTGTCAGGGTTTCCGACGCCCCTGACTCTGATCTTGCTGTCCACTTCGATTCCATCAGCGACAAGATACAAGATGTGCGAGGGCGTGGTGGGCGTGTGTTGGTGCACTGCGTCGCGGGCGTGAGTCGTTCTCCCGCCCTTGTATTAGCGTATCTGGTCAAATACGCCGACATGAGCTTGCGTCAAGCGTTCTTCCACGTGAGAAGTGCGCGTCCTAACATACGCCCGAACGCTGGGTTCTTCTCCCAGCTTATTGACTTTGAGGAACGTGTCCGGGGCTCGACGAGTGTGACCTTGGTGAAAGTCTCGAACTTGGGTCTCACCGTTCCTGACGTGTGTGAGGACGAGCTGAAGGTGCTGCGTGACACCAGGTGGGCACGCATGATCCGCGAACGACGCAACTTCGAAAGGTTATATGCGTAGTTCTTGGATTCAGGCTGAATTCACTACGACTTTGATCTCAGAACACTGTAGTCCTTAGCTGCATCTCTTCTCATAATGTTTATAATAATTTTCATCCACTCTGGTTGACCCAGAACTTCTGGAAAAGGTTTCTTAAACTAGATTCTCTGATTCATTAACATATCTCTCTCATATCGACCAAGCTATTAATTTTAGTAGCGAGTTGTTCTGTCGGTTCTGCTTGAGAACCAGGATGAACTGAGCCAAAGTTGTTAACGGTGGGTGGAACTAATGTAAGGGACTTTGTTATGCCGTTTGTGTATACATAGCTGACTTGGGGAAAAGAAAGTGGTATCACTTTGTATTCTGAATCAATAGTTACAAGTTTTGGAGTGAAATTAATGAACTTAACGGAAGACTCAAAAGAGGTGCTTATGGCCGTGCTTGTAAACATGGCAATAGAACACTACAAATTATATACATCGGTTAATTATGATATTTGCAAGCGTTATGCTAAAATATATCCTGTAATAGTTTGGCCTCCAGTGGCTCAACTATTATATGTTCACAGCAAACGCTATTCTTATTTAGTGGTGTGGTATACTGATGCGTCAGGGTCAGCCATCGTCGTGACGTAACACAGCTTCACGTGACGTAACACAGCTTCATATGACGAAGCATTGGCTATTGTTAGCTCCAGTCATGTTTGGGAAGGTAGATGGGGACAGCCTCCTTGTGCCTGATAAACACATCATTGAACTCTAGTAAACACATTTCTTTGTAGATCCTTGGCAGTTACTTTTACTCTTAGGGCGCAAGTAAACACATTTGCTCTTTGTACCCAGGATCATTTACGTGTTTACTTACGAAACATGTACATCTTTCCTCAATCGTGGCGGCTTAGTCTGTATTTATTAAACAGTTTAGTAGGAGCTTTGAAACCTCTCAACCCAAGGTTATTATTGATATGGAGAACCTCGTAGCATTTAGCTCATAAATTGTTTAACAAATGTAAACAAAGCCGCAATGATTGCGGAAAAATGTATGCTTAGTAAGTAGATATTCATGAGATTGATGAGTCCTCTCCCGAGTAACTATAGTTAATTCTAGTACCCAGTTTAACGTTTCTAAACATTATACAGGCAAACATAGCGCCTCGTTGAAGCAAAGTTGAACAGCCATTTTTTCCCTACTAAGAAATGCATTTCGTGGGTCTAATTTTGAAAGGGTTCAGAGCTTGATCGTCGGTCCTGATGCTGATGGATTGTGTCTTAAGGTTTACATACACCAGCGTATGTACCATAATGTAAACAAAGAGAGGAAAGCTTGTAGCCACGCTGACTGGACTCGTCAAAACTCTTATCAGTCCATTTATCACTTGTGTGTTATTAGTATGTATGTACATATATATAAATTTTAGTGACGGAGCTGTGAATTATAGATGACCAATGAATGTTTTATTTCTCAAACTAAAACTTGTAGTTTCACTGTGGATAGAAAGGTGTTTTTGCCACATTATCCCTGTTGCATGTACATCCCTGCGGCATCCACACTCGAATTACTTTTGTTGCTACAACAACAGCTAAAATACATCTACTTTATAACTCTATACCCTTGCTGCATTCACTCATTGGCTTCTTTACGCCCACACCTCACTAAATTGTAATGTTACCAATAAAGACAAAATGAGTCTCTGTATTCAACACACTGATGAGTAAGAAGGTAGAAATTCATAGTTCCAGAAAGCACTTAGTTCTCATCAACAGGGGTGATGAATAAGTAACATTTCCGAGATTTTCGGCTTGAGTAAATAGTGGTGCGGTCTTAGTCTTTTCCTGTTATCATGTCATTTTTTGTCTCGTTATTGAAGCTTCCGTGCCATAGTGTTTTGTTATGTGGCTAGCGAGGAATGTGAGCAATTTGCATCTCATTATGGTTTAATATTTTTACGTTGGATTATCTGAAGATGAAGTCTTTCATGGGAATTATTTTTTAAAGTTTTCGATCAAATATTTGCTTTATTTAGTATCTTTTATATCATTTTTAATTTTCTATGTCTCCGTCTTTCTCACTCTCCCTCCATTTAATTCCCTCGTTTACATTAATTATTATTTAATTTCCTTTCATTTCTTTCCATTTTCCTCATTTAATTAAATTCCTAACCGGTATTTCTTCATTTATCCATATATATATATTTACGTCGTTCCTTCGTCTCTCCCTTCTCTACATCTCTCCATCTTTTCCTCTCCAAGTTTCCCTTCCTACCACAACCATTCATCACCCGTTATCATACATTGCCCCTTAACCATACAAGTCGCCCCTTGGACAGTGCTCGTCCATGTACTCATCATTGTTGAGTCTGATGCCAGTCGCTGGTCGTTGGCATTAGTTGTTAAGAATTCTGTACAGTATTTTTGTAATACTATGAAATAAAATATATTAACATACACTTGTGTTATTTTGTAATCGCTTTGTATTGTGTGGTGTATTTATCGTGTTCAAATTTTCTAGTTATGGTGTTATTAATTCATCAATTTAGTGGTCTAAATTTCCATCCATCCTCTAGGGATCTTAAGTTATTGCCCTGGGCCGCACAGCTATATCTCCTCCGATTTCACTTTACCTGAAATGGAGCCAGAATTGTGTGTATAGCCTAAAGATTATTAAAGATGACGGCTTTAATTAAACGAAACTAATGATTTCGTTGTTACAGTGCTAACAACATTATTTTCAAATTAATTCCTCTCTTCTTACTTTCACTCTGCATTTTCTCTTCCCTTTTTCTGCCTTCCTTCTCATTTTATCTTTTATTCTCTCCTTCTGCCTGCCTTCCTCCTTTTATCCTTTTCTCTTCCCAAACTTTTCTCTTTCCTAACTATTGTCTTCTCTCTCGCCTATGTCTCATTTATATGGCCTAGCGCCTGCCTGCTCGTGGATTAATGTGTTTGTGTCATTTGAGAGTCACAGAAACAGCTGACACGAAGGAAGAGAAACAGCTGACACAGAGGGAGTGAAACAGCTGACACAGAGGGAGAGAAACAGCTGGCACAGAGGGAGAGAAACAGCTGGCACAGAGGGAGAGAAACAGCTGGCACAGAGGGAGAGAAACAGCTGACACAGAGGGAGTGAAACAGCTGACACAGAGGGAGTGAAACAGCTGACACAGAGGGAGAGAAACAGCTGGCACAGAGGGAGAGAAACAGCTGGCACAGAGGGAGAGAAACAGCTGACACAGAGGGAGTGAAACAGCTGACACAGAGGGAGAGAAACAGCTGGCATTGATAGAAACAGATGGTACTGAATGTGTCCACACACACCGACGATCGTAGGAGGCATGTGTATACTTGAGGCTGCGTTCAGGAGCTGAACACAGTAATCGGGAGTTGACACCAGTAATCAACATCCAGATTACTTCGACTTCGAGCATATCGATGGCCCTCCAATGATCCAGAGGGAAGATGTAAGACCTGGCGGACAGCTAGAAGCTGGAGTCAGGCAACAATCACCTCACTCTAGTAACCATGATATATATGTGCTTCAGCCTACAGTTTAGACCTATTGTCTTATGTATGACCCTCTGTCCTGCGTGACAGTGAATACTAGCATTATCCTCACTTTAATAAGACCTATCAAAATCCTCAGATTAGGCAAAATTGTAATTAATTTTGTCAATAAAGATGTTAATAATAATAATAACTCTACCCTTCGGCGCTCCCTACGATTAAGAGCGTTAGGTGGATTATAAGTGTATAGATTTCTCCTTGTAAGCTCAGTATAGCTATGTTAGTGCAACAGTCTACTGACTTTATCAGTGGATAAATCCACTTTATGAGTGTACTCATGAAGATGTCACATTGCTGACGAAACGTTGAATAGTAAAAATGGAAAGATTAAGTGATCTTGTGTTTCTTCACCCTCCAGATGATAGAAGATATTTGTGTAGAATGGAAAATATCCAAAAGAAAATTAATAATAGTCACAATTCAATTACCTGGGCTGTAGGAGTCTCGAACCCTGGACCCCACGTGTGTGAGGCCGAAGCTTTTAATTGTCACAATGCTGTTGTGTTTAACCGAAATGTATTCACGTTCATCGTTTTCGAGTAAACCATGAAAATGCGGCGACGGAAATAACCATCAAAATTCTACGGAAAACAACCCCTGGTTTTATTCCAGACTTCATGAAAATTGAAGGGGTCGTTTAAGATGCCGATATTTCTTAGTGTGGCATTGGGACGGACCCCGACTGGCCTGTGACATTCCCATACCCCGATGATTCATCTTGGAAAGCTGGGTTAGTGTAGCCCCCAAGCATCTGTCCTACAACGTTAGTTTATTTTACATTTAATATTGAGTAACTCTGATTCATTTCCCCCGTTGCCAAGTATGAAACTCCGGTTTTATCAGTGTTAACTTGTGTTTTTAGTAATATATGCCAAGGTGTATTGATTCCTACGTTAGCCTTGAGGCACCTTAGTGCCACTTTCTTGTAAAGGAAAGTGCACTGAAATGTCTTAAAGCGTCAGGTTTAGTGGATTACGACACGTTAACTTCCAACTTTGTCTTAAGATGTCTGGTGAGCGGCACGTGGTACCCTCCATTGATCTCAGACTTGCGAGCTCTTTCGCTGTGGCTCTTTTATCTTTTCTTTCTCTGGTTTCCTCACTTCTCTATTTGGTCCTCTCCTTCTCTTTCTCTGGTCCTCTTCCTCTCTTTCTCTGGTCCTCTTCCTCTCTCTGCGGTTTATTCCCTCTTTCTCTGCGGTCTCCTCCCTCTTTCTGGTTTTCTCGCTATTTTTTCTCTTTGTTTCTTCCCTGTCTCTCTTTCTGTCTGGTCTCATCTACTTCTTCTTTTAGACCTACAAACATCTTTACCTGACCTGTTTGAACAGCCCGTCCTCCTAAGGTTTCCTAACGTCAAGAAAACGGTAAATTTAAAATGTGTTCTCCTAACCAGAGGACCCAAAACAGAAAACGGGACTACGTCACTTTCGCGAGCCGCTTCCATTTTCTAGTACGACAATTTTTTGGCCTTACCTAACGCATACGATCAAAATGCGACGGTCCTTGTAAGAGGACAGGTTGATATTTATATATCCATAACCTGTAAATGTCCTGATTGTACCGGATTACTCAACCCACCAGCCTCCTTTTTGGTCAATCAACCCTCTCCGTGACCTGGCAACTTCCTCTCTCACCCATCAACCTCTTCCTTGACTCGTCAGTTACTCACCTGATCCATCAACTATTATTCTGCCGTCTCTGATGACCTTTTCAGTGCATAAATTCGTTGCTCACCGTTTGGCAACGTTGATTCTGGGAAGGAGGTTCAACTGTGCCAAGTGTTGTTGAGGTGCTTGGTGGGGGGGGGATGAGGGGGGGGGGTTGAGGTGGGGGGGGGGTGTTGAGGTGGGGGGGGGCGGGGTGTTGAGGTGGTGGGGGGGGGAAGGAGGGGGTGGTGATGGGGGCTTACTTAATGGTAGTTACCTAACAGTGCTTACATAACATCGTTTATGTAGAAGTGAAGTCTAGCTCTTGATAATTTCCTGTAAATGTCCATCTTGAGGTTGTAGATGGAGGTGGCTTCCATAGCTTCTACTTTTACACAATTCCACCACTTGTTGACCACCTGTACAAGGTACGAGCGCTTTCCTTACATTTCTAAGGCTCTACGTTTCCAGCTTCCACCTGTGGTGGTGGTGGTGGTGGTGGTACTTAAGTGTCAACGGAGGTGATGGGGAGGTAGGTGAGTTAGGACTGAGGTAGGAGTTCCTAGTATGGAGGTAAGTAGGTGAGATGGGTAGGTAGGTACAACGAGCCTATTAGCCTCGTTGTACATGTTGCCTTACACTTTAACTATTCTGACGTTCAAATTTGTTGTCAAACAGGCCCTTGAAGTTGTGGATTGCGGTGGTTTCCACAACTATTTCTTTCCATTACGACCATATAACACTTGAAAGGGATCAGGATAAGGATTTCAGACGGGACGAGAGGTGTGTGGGGGGGGGGGTGAGTAATGGTGCCCAACCATTTGGACGGTCGGGAATTGAAGGCCGACCTGCAGGAAGCGAGACCGTCCGTCTACTGTCCAGGCCAAGTGGTTGGACCCACAAGGTACGAGTATTTCTTTCCATTCCTCTGGTTCGTTGGCGTTTCCAGCTTGTGTCCTCTTGTCCTGCTTTCAAATTTAAGAGATTATCCTTTTCCACCTTATCTATTCCCCTCATTATTTTGTATGTTGTAATCATATGCTCCTCTTTTCCTTGCATCCTCTAGGATTGCGAGATTTTCTTCTATTAGCCTATTCTCGTAGCTTAGCCCTCTTAGCTCTGGCACCAATCTTGCTACAAATCTTTATACTTTTTACTTGGGTTTATTCTTCATAAGGTGCGGATTCCATGCCGGTGCTGCATATTCCAGTATTGGTCTAATAAATGTTGTGTAGACTGCCTTGAAGAAGTCTGATTTGGGTTTCTAAATGAAGTTCTTATATTTGCCAGCGTCTGGAGTTAGTGTCGGAAATGCATCTACTCCAAAATCTCTCTCTCTCTCTCTCTCTCTCTCTCTCTCTCTCTCTCTCTCTCTCTCTCTCTCTCTCTCTCTCTCTCTCTCTCTCTCTCTCTCTCTCTCTCTCTCTCTCTTTAAACTAAGATTAGGATTCATAAGGGATGGATAATAACATACCTAGTGAAACTGGCTCAGGAACCTGTACACCAGTTGAGAGGCGGGACCAAAGAGCCAAAGCTCAACCCCCGCAAGCACAACTAGGTAAGTACACGGTATGCTATCAGACTCTTCCCGGAACTGAGAGGTATGAGCCACGAGGAAAGGCTGAAGGAGCCGAAACTCACGTCTCTGGAAAACAAAAGAGTAAGGGGAGACATGATAACCACCTACAAAATTCTCAGGGAATTGACAGGGTGCACAAAGACAAACTCTTCAGCACGGGTATTTACCGATAACAGCGACTCCATCACATGTTCCTCCGATGATAAAGGAGTGCCAAGTGTTGTCGATAGAGGAGTGCCAAGTGTGGTCGATAAAGGAGTGCCAATTGTCAACCATAAGAGAGGTCCAGGTCGCTGTGTGGCAGGCGGCTGTCAGCAACAGTGCCGTACAACTACTCACAAGCGTAGTTGCTCGTTTTATTTTTCAGCATTCAAAGGTGTGCTGAGTTTCAACGACACTGCTGTGTCGATGCCTCTCATGTATGGCACTGGTTGATTGAACAGGTTGGCTGACGGTGGGTTGCCTAGTTTGGCACTGGCTGATATTCGCCCGTCCAGGATGGCACTAGGTGACTGTCGGCTGTCCAGGATGGCACCAGGTGACTGTCGGCTGTCTAGGATGGCACTAGGTGACTGTCGGCTGTCCAGGATGGCACTAGGTGACTGTCGACTGTCCAGGATGGCACCAGGTGACTGTCGGCTGTCCAGGATGGCACCAGGT